CATGCCAAATGCAGCCGCCCCCCCCCCTTCAATGCTCTCTCTCACTCATAGCTGTGTATATTTCCAACAACAGTCTGCTTGTACCGGTTCTCACAGTCTCTTCGCTTGCGGATTTCTTATTTTTCCTTCTACCCTGAAGATGGAGGCGATACGTTCCTCCAGAACATCGGTTAACACACATCTACACGGTGCCACATCCCAGAAGACTGCCTTCTTCAATATAACAGTGACTTGCTGAAGGATGAGAACGCTGATTCCTGCAGATTGAAGTACTGATCCTAGTCACTTGAGGTTTATATGCTATTGAAGAGTTGAAAATGGCGTAATCTGCTCGTATTTATGGAACTCCGGCAGAATGAAGCAAAATGTTATTGGCATGGATCACTCACTCAGTGACGGAGCTGAGCCCCTCTTGAGAAGCCCCAAATTGTGCAGCTACTCACGAACTTCCCAGAATTTTATGGAATCCAAAGGTTCATTAACGTGTTCACAAGAATCCTCCATTGGTCCCTATCCTGAGCCAGATCAACCCAATCCATCCAATCCCATCCTGTCTCTCTAAGATCCATATATATTGGCCACCCACCTACATCTTGGTCATCCTAGTCGTCTGTTTCCTTCTTACTTACCCAGCAATATCCTATATGCCTTCCTCGTGTCCCCCATTCGTGCTACATGTCCTGCCAACATCATCCTCCTTGACTTGATCATTCTAATTACACTTGGAGAAGAGTACAAGTTATGTAGCTCCTCATTATGCAGTTTTCTCCAACCTCCTGTCACTTCATCTCTCTTCGGTCCAAATATTCTCCTCAACACCCTCAGTCTATGTTCCTGTCTTAATGTCAGAGACCATCTTCACGGTCGAAGGGTAAGTTCTGCAAGCAAGGACTTACTCTCACACTGTCTTCCTTCCTTGCTTGAATAGCTTACACTTCGGTCGTGGAGAAAGTTACTTTAATCGGAAATCTTGCGAAATATAACGGCAGAACGCACGCGACAAGAGAGTGTGAGTAGTACCCGTGACTTCCATCTAGCAGGCTGTGGATGGCACTAGGAAGTTTATTCTTAAGGTAACTGAAAACCATGAACTTGTTTATTTGCCACACAATTAAAATGCACATTGATCATAAAAAGCGGAATGAAGCTGTGACTGCCACACCCACTTCAGATGTACAGTCGCTTTCACAGAGTATGTTAGAAATGCTGCCGTCCGATTGTTTTTGGGCACTAAGATAATATGCACAGTGTTCAAGAGAGATACTTGGGGAGGGGGTCACGCTTCATTCGGACATACTCATTTCCGTTATATAAAAATGAAGTCTCTTGTATAAGCAACTGTGGCATTTCTCGCTTAAGTTGATTTCTGAGGCTGTAGGCTAATTCGTATTCAGGTCCAATTAAGAGATACAATAAACCATTAATATGTGTGGAGATTAATCGGAGATTAATGTCTGTTAAATAACAGTTCATCATCAGCAGAGTCTTTAGGTTTTTAAATCTCAGGATTTGCCGAAAGATTCTCTCTGAGACTGGGTTGCGAGAGAAGTCGAGATGTTGCAGCTGGGGACAGCCGTCGGCAACGTAAGTCATACCCCTCCTCTCCACTCTCACGCAGGAAGAAACATCTAGATACTTCAACATTTTGCAGGAATGTATATTTCGCAGTCCTTCGCAGTGAAGTTCATTTCCTTCGAGATTCAGATGCGTAAGCAAAGGACACTTCAGCGTAATCTCGTTCGTAATTGTATCGATATTTCCTCCTATGTAAGATAAGCAAATGTACGACAGTTGAGATAATATGTTATGGAATAACATTAGAACCATCGTGTTTGCCGTGGGGAACGTGTAGCCTGAGATTTCCAACGTTTTTAAGTTTTGTAGTTTCGTAAGCGGAGGTACTCCAGTGAATATGCCGTTAATTCCATGGCCGAAGAAAGACACACTTTTCAGGTTCGTGCACTCGTCTATGGCCATGAGGATGCCCGTAGTGACTGCCCCGTGGTACTCATATGTGACGAGCTTATCCTTTTTGCGGTGCAAGAAGTAACAGAAATCCCCCGTCGTACTGTCTAGGGCTTTACATTTTAATACCGTCAAATTCGGACAGCCATCTGCAATAGGTAAGAGCAATCCATTCACTGCCGTGACTCCCATAGGTGAGTACAAAGTTAGAGAGACCAGTGTTTTGCAATTGGAAATGATAACGGTGAGCAGAACTGCCATTTCCTCCTGCGCGATATAAACGCCGAGGTCTCTCAACTCAGTTAGACAGTGCACAGCTAACCTAAGATCGCTTGCAGTTACTGTGGTGTGGGGAATATGTAAAACGCTGACTTTTCTACAGCATTCACATAGTTTTCGTACGAAATTAAGACTTCCGGTGTAGTGGAACTGTCTCAGAGTCGGCGTATTCTCCAGCAAAAAATTGATTTCGCTGAGTGGAGTGAGTCCAGTAGGGCAGTAGCGCAAGTTGAGCCATATCGCATCGTCCTCGGAAACCCTCCTCCACCAAGAGCAGACGTTTCGTACAGAACAAGTCAGGTCATGAATGCCCAAGTACGAGAATATCTTGACAAGTAACTCGTCTGGAAGCAGGTCGAAGCTGGCCATAGTTCAGTCTGTAACACAAAACAAGGTCGGTACAGCCAAATGTTAATGATTTGCGACATATGTGACACTGCAACTTCTCCGCGAAATCTGTTCAGAAACCGGTCGATATGCCTATTCAGCATAGAACAAGAAGACGCATAAAATTACTTGTAGAAAGTGATAAAGGAGATTTCATTTTCTGATTACGTATCTCCTATTTAGAATATGTCATTGAAACGAATGCCGTATTTTCAGATCTAACGCCTGCGCGTGTACGCGTATAACCCCCCCCTCCTCCTCTTCGGGAGACGCGATGATATGTTAAGCGGAATTCTGAATGTCTGCGCACGCAGTTGCTTTCAGAGTTCCTTTCATTACTGAGAAGTATTCACGGAGAAGATGAATTAAGTTTCGGCCACACAGAGCGCTACGCTATGTTCGCTACGTACGCTACGTACGCTAAGTACGCTGTGTACACACTGCGACGCAGCTAACATAGGGAACATAGCGTACGTAGCGTACAGGAGTCTGTGTGTCCAGTCACATTGGCAATAAAGGGAGATATTTTTCTATTCGTATAGCGAACATAGCGTGCGTCGCGTACGTAGCGCTCTGTGTGCCCGAACGTTTAGTGGATTCTTGTTGCCTACTTGTGGCAGGTTCTCTACAACTTCAGACGTCGGGGAGAGAGACAAATCTTTTCTTGTAGAGAGATGCGAACCCGCTGCTTTGTGATTGCAGTGCGCCGCCGAATGTTAGCGTAACAGGGATTGAGAATAGTAAAAGGAGTGGTTCTTAGGAAAATATTTTCAGTAGATAGACGAGAATTCGTTTAGTTTTGTTTTAAGTTCTAAACTGAATGTGAGCCATATCTAAGACCTCCGTTCCTGTGTGGAATTAAGAAAACACAACGCACGCACTCCCGGGTAATGTTGCTTGGGGACAAAGGTCGCTATTTGCATGAGAAACAGTAGCATCGCACCCAAACTCAACGGTTGTGATGCGAATTTCCTTTGATGACATGATTGGCTGCAGAAGGCAGAGGTGAGTACTGTACAGACGGGTTGCCGATGTTCACGTTATACATAGTGGAGGTTGACAGAATAATGGGAAACACTAAGAAACTGAGGAATAGAGCTTTTGTTGGCTACGTTCAAAGGACTTTAGGCGGCAGAACTGAATGTTCTTTAGTTTGTGCTCGTTTCAGTGCGTTATTGATTGTGTTAGATGACAATCCGTGTGAACGAAATCCGAAAATGGAAGACTTGTCCGGTTTTGAAAGTGGACGCGTTTTGTTGGAGCATCTGTGACAGAAACTGCCACAATATTAGGTGTGTCGAGAGCGACTGTTTCTGAGCGAATCATGAGAACACAGCATCAGCGAATAGGAGCAGTCGGCGAAAATCAGCATTGAAGGAAATGTATGGTTGTACATTGAGAAGGATGGCCTCGAGAGATCACAATTGCAGCAGCAAAAGTGACAGCAGAACTGAACATTCATCTCGCAGACTCTTGTTTCCACAAAAACTGTCCGAATGGACAAACCATTAACTACGGTAGATCTGCAATTGCTTAACGTCTGATTGCTGAATTAGTGCACAAACAAAATCAACAAACAAACTCCGTGGTTTAAGTCGGCAAGCGAACTATACCGACCGAGAGACCGGCGCTTGTCGGCGAAGTTAGTGCCAAATTTAGCGGTTAGAGGGTATCGCGTGGTCAGCGCAACGAATCGTCACGGCCGCTAATTTCGGTTTTCTAGACCGGAACCGCTATTTCCTTGAAATAGCTCCTCAATTATCCTCACGAGACTGAGTGGACCTTGTTCCAGACCCACTACTTCTCAGAACATCTTGTAGTTCCGGGAGTCGAACCCGGACCTCTGGATCTGTAGCCAGGGATTCTGACCACTAGACTACAGAGGCCGTCGAAAGTAGTTTACAGTTGCGTTGAAGTGGAATTCACGACAGTAAAACCTTGACATGAGGCAAGTGGAGACGCGCACGTTGTCCTTCAACTGTACTCTTCATCAGAAAGATTTTACGTTTGTAGACGTTCTGTGACGGTTTGCGCATCAGTGTCATGGTACAGTATTCTGCTGATACCAGTATTGCCCTTCACGGCCGAATTACTGCAATGGAGTACGTGGCCAGGTTGGGTAATCAGGTGCACCCCATGGTCCATACGTCATTTCCGAAGAACGGTGCAGTTTTCCAAGACGAATGCCTCCATTCACATGGCTGTAACTGCTTAGTCATGGTATGGAGGGCATGAAGGTGAACTTCAACATCTTCCCTGGCCAACACAGTTACCACAACTGTACATTACTGAACCTCTCTGGTCAGTTTTGGAGACTAGCGTGAAGATCAGGTTACTACCTCCGGCGTCTTCAAAGCAACTTGAAGGTAATCTTCACGAAGAATGGTATAAAATTCCGATAGAGGCTTTCAAAACTTGTACGAGTCATTGCAAGGCTGTACTGAAGGCAAAATATGGTCCAGCACCCTAATAATGAAATGTTAACAGTGTCTGTAGTGTTTCCATTACAGTGTTCACCCCCTGTATTTTGTTATTGATATCTAAACATGTCAGAATGGAGCGCGAACAAAGCGGTGAGCATTTGGCTGATATTCTTTCCGAAATAACGGTCAGTGTTTTCATAGTTTGCACCGACTGTAGAATCATCTGCACTTTGTTTTGAGGACGGGGGATGTGTCCGAATGGCGTACTACTGCATGTGGTATCACCTTACAGAATTTTACAGTATTCAGATAAATTCAATGAATTCATGATTTTTCGAGCAATTGAGGCAGTTCAACTAAAAATACCTCAACACTGTCCTGTAATTACGTCACACAGAAAGTGAGATGTCTTCTTCAAGAAACTTTAACTGTAAACATATTAGAACGTTGCTGTAATAACCTTGACAGGTCAGTCATGGTGCCATCAAGAGGTGAATATGAACATTGCTCTCATTAGGTTTACACATCCTCGAGATAGGAATTACGTGTTCACCGTGATTAACTTTGCCGTCAGTATAACAGAAACCTTTGAGGTCAATGATTTCATGTGATGCATGATTGATTATACCTCTTTATGTAAACATTTTTAAGTAAAGAAGAATTCTAATGATATGCTGAATTAAACTAAAAGTGTCTTTTGTGCAATGAGACACCAAATAATATACAACTCTTTAATGAACCGTCACAACACAACAAATAGTAAATCATTAAAGTCAGCGTGCAGCTGTGGCTTTGCTACATGTTTCGGCCACTGTCGGCCATCATCAGGCAAATACATATCAACAAAAATCTACCATTTAACTGCAATCATAAAATGGATATAACATTATTAATCGTACAAATTAAAAATGCTTATGTAAAAAATACAAAAGTTCAGATGATATAAAAATTAAAAATTGGAAGTATTATAGGAAGATATAATTTTAATGATTTTTTCAAGAACATTGAATCAGTCGTTGGATATACTTTGTGCGTTTCCATAGACAATAGGGAAATTCGAAATTACTTTATATAGAAGATTTTGAGAGAGGCCCATGGTGTAGCAATTAATGAATTGTGTAATGCTACCTCGTCATTAAGAAGAATTGTCCGTATTGCATGGAAAGCAAACAACGACTGAAAACATCATTAATATTTTATCTTGCTATAATACTTCCTATTTTTAATTTTTATATAATCTGAACCTTTGTATTTTTTACATAAGCATTTTTAAATTTGTACGATTAATAGTGTTATATCCATTTTATGATTGCAGTTAAATGCTAGCTTTTGTTGATATGTATTTGCCTGATGATGGCCGGTACTGGCCGAAACATGTAGCAAAGCCATAGCTGAACGCTGACTTTGATGTTTTACTATTTGTTGTGTTGTGATGGTTCATTAAGGAGTTGTATATTGTAGCACAGCAGGATGCATGAAGTTAAGATCACCAAATAAATTGTTGCAGTCAAACGAATCAGTAGGCAAATTGTGACTGTCCGTACGATTTGACTCACCTGGAGGCGGCCGCTGCGGCTGAAAGGTAGGCAGGGACTGATCTGCCCCCGCGATGTGTCCACATCAACAGAACCAGAGTCAGGGCGCTCCCTCGCGGTGGCACTCGACGTCGAATCGATGTAGTCACGTCGATATGCAGTGTATCGAAATTTTAAGACTACACTACATTAGACAGATCAATAGTATATGTTTGTAAGAATTCTTATGTTGGGCCGCGCTTAGCTCAAGAGGTTAGTCGCTGGCTTCCCACCACGGCGGCTGGGGTTTGATCCCGGGTCTGGTCAAGTGGGATTTTTGGTGGACAATGTGGCGCTGGGGCAGGTTTTCTCCGAGTACTTCGGTTTCCCCTGCCAATCTTCATCCCACCAATTGCTCCACAATCACCCTCACCTATCATCTGGGGCTGGTCCAATAGTCCAGAAGTGGCCGCAGTACAAGGGACTTATTCCCACCCCACTAGGAATAAAACAAAAAAGCATTCTTATGCTGGTTATTCGAGATATCACCAAATGTAGCCGGCGGTTGTCATGGGAGACGCAGATTTATTTATTGTATTCTTATTTATAATAATCTGCGGATTCTTTTTGAAATGGGGTTTTGAATATTACTTCGGGATCTCATGTTTGACGTCATACTTTCAGAATTGTATGCCGCACCATTTTATGGCGCCCCATGGAGTTTGTGTTAAACAGAGATTGGAGCCTCTAACGGCTAGTTCTTGTTAGGCTAAAGGAGTTCGAATGGAGGGTATGTATGTTTGTTGTTGCCTTGTTCCTGAATTGTCTGGTTAGGTTTTAAAGGGGTATGACGATGGGTGACATTCGTAAATACTGGAGTTAGGACTTACTCCACCATCAGATATTCTAAAAATTGCTACACAAGACAGCGCTTAGGAAACCCGCTCTGTTTGCGTGCAGAGCTGAGGGTGTCAACGAACTCAGTCTGTTGGGTTTATTAGAAAGAACAAACTCCAGTCACTGGATTTCGCCCCATATGGAACCCGAACTAAATTCAGAATTACTGGGTTTTTGTATTTTTTTTTTCCCATCGTTCGGTATTCTGGAAAACAGAAAACAGGACGTGTCGGAAACTGGATCTGTTTCCGTCTTCAGGTGAGGAAGGTAGGAACCTACTCAGTTGGGCCCCTTAGAGAGGGTTAACCTCGACTACTGTCATATTCACTGCAACTGTTTCGTCACCTGAGACCAGGCCAGTTCGGCGGGAGACAGCAAGAAAATATAAATCAGAATTGTGATAAAGTACGCGCATGCGTGCAACTAGGATAGAAAATGAGGTAGAAAACGTCGTGTTTTCTATTTTCCAGAATACCGGACGATGGATAATGTCCCAAAGCCCAGTAATTCTGTGTGCTATACACCATCGTCAGAACCCTTTAGAATCTATCAAGCTACCTTATTCACGCAATGCATTTGCCAATATCATCTTGAAAATTAATCTGTAAGAACGAACGGACTCTCCATAATTGAAAAAAAATGCGCAGAAAAGGCACTGAGCATTGATCTCAGAAGCGACTCTGATGCACTCAGCGGCGGCTAGTGGGATTTCATTTTCGATACCAGAGATAAGACGAGTACATTTCTTGTTTGGTTCCATGTGTTTAGGAGCAGAGTCTCTGCTTACGGCTTTGAACTATATTGTGTCTGAAACACTACTGATGCTCTTTCTTCCTCAGACACCGTAACATCGTTACGCCATCTTGTGTGTCTAGATATCATTTTTAAGATGTGATTGCCTCTCCTTACCGGAATTCTCACTGAACACTCACGGTGTTACGTTCCCTCACAGACAGTAATGCCCCTAATAGGGTGCTGCCACTAGAAGTGGCAGGGTACGTTAACCAGTCACTGAGACACCGGAGTGGGACCCTCAGTGTACACCAGATGTGCCCCAGGCTGTGTGCAGTATCGGGCATAATGTTAGCATAACGACCGAGCTTGAGGCAGCTGTCACGTCGTCACTCTGTAGCGTGTTGTTGTACACGCTTACAGACGTTTCGCAGTAGCGTACTGCCGCCATGTTCACGGTCGAAGGGTAAGTTCTGCAAGCAAGGACTTACTCTCACACTGTCTTCCTTCCTTGCTTGAATAGCTTACACTTCGGTCGTGGAGAAAGTTACTTTAATCGGAAATCTTGCGAAATATAACGGCAGAACGCACGCGACAAGAGAGTGTGAGTAGTACCCGTGACTTCCATCTAGCAGGCTGTGGATGGCACTAGGAAGTTTATTCTTAAGGTAACCGAAAAGCATGAACTTGTTTATTTGCCACACAATTAAAATGCACATTGATCATAAAAAGCGGAATGAAGCTGTGACTGCCACACCCACTTCAGATGTACAGTCGCTTTCACAGAGTATGTTAGAAATGCTGCCGTCCGATTGTTTTTGGGCACTAAGATAATATGCACAGTGTTCAAGAGAGATACTTGGGGAGGGGGTCACTCTTCATTCGGACATACTCATTTCCGTTATATAAAAATGAAGTCTCTTGTATAAGCAACTGTGGCATTTCTCGCTTAAGTTGATTTCTGAGGCTGTAGGCTAATTCGTATTCAGGTCCAATTAAGAGATACAGTAAACCATTAATGTGTGTCGAGATTAATCGGAGATTAATGTCTGTTAAATAACAGTTCATCATCAGCAGAGTCTTTAGGTTTTTAAATCTCAGGATTTGCCGAAAAATTCTCTCCGAGACTGGGTTGCGAGAGAAGTCGAGATGTTGCAGCTGGGGACAGCCATCGGCAACGTAAGTCATACCCCTCTTCCCCACTCTCACGCAAGCAGAAACATCTAGATACTTCAACATTTTGCAGGAATGTATATTTCGCAGTCCTTCGCAGTGAAGTTCATTTCCTTCGACATTCAGATGCGTAAGCAAAGGACACTTCAGCGTAATTGCGTTCGTGATTGTATCGATGTTTCCTCCTATGTAAGATAAGCAAATGTACGACAGTTGAGATAATGTGTTATGGAATAACATTAGAACCATCATGTTTGCCGTGGGGAATGTGTAGCCTGAGATCTCCAACGTTTTTAAGTTTTGTAGTTTCGTAAGCGGAGGCACTCCAGTGAATATGCCGTTAGTTCCATGGCCGAAGAAAGACACACTTTTCAGGTTCGTGCACTCGTCTATGGCCATGAGGATGCCCGTAGTGACTGCCCCGTGGTACTCATATGTGACGAGCTTATCCTTTTTGCGGTGCAAGAAGTAACAGATTTCCCCCGTCGTACTGTCTCGGGCTTTACATTTTAATACCGTCAAATTCGGACAGCCTTCTGCAATAGGTAAGAGCAATCCATGCACTGCCGTGTTTCCCGCAGATGGGTACAAAGTTAGAGAGACCAGTGTTTTGCATTTGGAAATGATAACGGTGAGCAGAACTGCCGGTTCCACCTGCGCGATATAAACGCCGAGGTCTCTCAGCTCAGTTAGACAGCGCACAGCTAACGTAAGATCGCTTGCAGTTACTGTGGTGTAGGGAATATGTAAAACGCTGACTTTCGTACAGCATTCACATAGTTTTCGTATGAAATTAAGACTTCCGGTGTAGTGGAACTGTCTCAGATTCGGCGAATTCTCCAACAAAAAATTGATTTCGCTGAGTGGAGTGAGTCCAGTAGGGCAGTAGCGCAAGTTGAGCCATATCGCATCGTCTTCGGAAACCCTCCTCCACGAAGAGCAGACGTTTCGTACAGAGCAACTCAGGTCATGAATGCCCAAGTATGAGAATATCTTGACAAGTAACTCGTCTGGAAGCAGGTCGAAGCTGGCCATAGTTCGGTCTGTAACACAAAACAAGGTCGGTACAGCCAAATGCTAATGATTTGCGACATATGTGACATTGCAACTTCTCCGCGAAATCTGTACAGAAACCGGTCGATATGCCTATTCAGCATAGAACAAGAAGACGCATAAAATTACTTGTAGAAAGTGATAAAGGAGAATTCGTTTTCTGATTACGTATCTGCTATTTAGAATATCTCATTGAAGCGTCTGCCGTATTTTCAGATCTAACGCCTGCGCGTGTACGCGTATATACCCCCCCCCCCTTCTACGGGTGTCGCGGTGATATGTTAAGCGGAATTCTGAATGTCTGCGCACGCAGTTGTTTTCAGAGTTCTTTTCATTACTGAGAAGTATTCACGGAGAAGAAGAATTAAGTTTCGGCCACACAGAGTGCTACGCTATGTTCGCTACGTACGCTGTGTACACACTGCGACGCAGCTAACATAGGGAACATAGCGTACGTAGCGTACAGAAGTGTGTGTGGCCAGTCACATTGGCAATAAAGGGAGATATTTTTCTATTCGTATAGCGAACATAGCGTGCGTCGCGTACGTAGCGCTCTGTGTGCCCGAACGTTTAGTGGGTGCTTGTTGCCTACTTGTGGCAGGTTCTCTACAACTTCAGACGTCGGGGAGAGAGACAAATCTTTTCTTGTAGAGAGAGTCGAACCCGCTGCTTTGCGATTGCAGTGCGCTGCCGAATGTTAGCGTTAACAGGGATCGAGAATAGTAAAAGGAGTGGTTCTTACGAAAATATTTTCAGTAGATAGACGAAAATTCGTTTAATTTTGTTTTAAGTTCTAAACTGAATGTGAGCCATATCTAAGACCTCCGTTCCTGTGTGGAATTAAGAAAACACAACGCACGCACTCCCGGGTAATGTTGCTTGGGGACAAAGGTCGCTGTTTGCATGAGAAACAGTAGCATCGCACTCAACTCAACGGTTGTGATGCGGATTTGTTTTGATGACATGATTGGCTGCAGAAGGCTGTGGTGAGCACTGTACAGACGGGTTGCCGATGTTCACGTTATACATAGTGGAGGTGGGCAAAATAATGGGAACCTTAGAAACTGAGGAATAGAGCTCTTGTTGGTTACGCTCAAAGAACTTTAGGCGGCAGCACTGAATGTTCTTCAGTTTGTGCTCGTTTCAGTGCGTTATTGATTGTGTTGGATGACAATCCGTGTGAACGAAATCCTTAAATGGAAGACTTGTCCGGTTTTGAAAGAGGACGCGTTTAGTTGGAGCATCTGTGACAGAAACTGCCACAATATTA